ATACACTCTATGCGCCACCGGGAAGGCTGATCATTTCCACATAACAGCGATTACTTGACCAGCTGACCGGTGTTTAACGTGAAATTATTCAATTTATTCAAAATATATCCAATTTCAGCAATTGCAGTATATTTGGGCCACAGTGCAGCGCAACTACCATAACCTTAAATAAATAAATAATTAAAATCTTAAATGAACGGAGTGCTGACTCAAAGTAATAACGTCATCAACAGTATCGCTCAGTAATCGTGCTATAGTTACTTTGCTAGTATGACTGAGAAAATAACAAAATTAGCACTAGCAAGTCGTGTGATTATTTTGGTATTGCAGCTGTTTGCCAACCACCTGCTGCCGGATCATAAACCAGACGTATTCCGTGCACCGATTGCACAACCAAAACAGCAGCATTTAGAAAAGCTTGATACATCCACATACCATATTGCAAATGCCACCAATGCTGCTTGGCTTGATCGCACAGTGCAATTTTGCCTAGGCGGCTTGCGACACTGGGATGGGGAGTATTTTCTACATATCGCAGAATACTCATATTCTTACGAGAACACGCTCGCCTTTTACCCCCTCTTTCCATTGGTAGTACGAGCTGGTGCTAATGCACTTTACGCCTTAAATATGGGTGTGTCGTTGAGGAGCTGGTGCTTGGTAATAGCAGTGCTAGTCAATGTTTTCTGTTTCTGCAAGGCGGCGAATGCTCTCTACGCTCTCACTCAACGGATATTCAAGGATCCGAATAAAAGTTGGAATGCAGCCTTGCTTTTCTGCTTCAACCCAGCATCCATATTTTTTACTGCCGCCTACTCAGAGGCACTCTTCTGTTGGCTTTCGTTGCATGTAATGCTGGAATGCGTTTCCGAATTCCGTTTTGTGCGCACCACCGTCACGCTCGCGCTATCAGTTGTAAGCCGCTCGAATGGTCTGCTAAACGCAGGATATCCCATATACTTTATGTTGCGCCATAGCATACTCAAGTCATATCATCGTTGTTTTGCTGCACTGAAGCTAACATTATGCCTGCTCGGTGCACTATTGCCACTTACCTTCTTCTATTTCTATGCCTTCGAACAATTCTGTGTGCCGGAGCGCACAGTGGCGCATACAACGGCTGTGTTGGATTATGCGCGGCAGAAAAATTACATATTAGCTGGCCATCGGATGCCTGAAAATTCGCCGTGGTGTGACAAGACATTTCCATTCCCTTACTCCTACATACAATCACACTACTGGAATGTTGGTTTCCTACGTTACTACGAACTGAAGCAATTGCCGAACTTTTTGTTGGCATTGCCTGTCGTTGCGTTTCTACTTTATCACTGTTTCAAATATTTAAGTCATTTCTTGAGTGCACTGCTGCCACGTTATCCCATCGTACAAATCCTGAAGGAATATAAATCGCTACCATTCGTGCTGCATGCGCTGCTGCTCACATTATTTTGCACTTTTTTCGTGCATATACAGATATCGACGCGCTTGCTGTGCTCAGCTACGCCTTGTCTATATTGGTTTGCAGCCGATCATTTACCAAAGACATTTGATCAGATCAAGTTGCGTTCGAAAGCCGGCTCCATATTAGTGTGGTTCACAAGTTACTATTTAATTGGCACAGCGCTATTTTGCAACAACCTGCCATGGACGTAAAGCTTCACAAATGAGAGCGGTAGTGCCGTTGTAAAAGTGTGAAGAGACGGTGAAAAGATAGTAAGTGCACATTTACATATTCTTTATCAAAATAATTATTGCTTATGTATATATGTACAGATTTCAGGATTGACTGTGCGATTGGATAGCTTAAAGGATGCTAATACTCGGTACTATACATCTTCATTTAATCATTGGCACAAACTTTAGAATTAGCTGTACATTAATACAAACTTCGCCGACAAACCAAAAAGCAATTGAAATTAAAATTAACTATCAATCAAATTGACTAACTAAATTAACGTTTATTTCTACGTTTATATTAATTTATTTATTTTATGTTAAAAGACATTGTACGCGAATAGCCTTACAATAATTATATATATATATGTCTGGGAGAAATATTCGTTTTCAACGAAAACTTACTGCAAGTCTGCGTGCCAAAAAAATTACATTTTTGATTGAAGTTATGATAAAACTTTAAAATTACACGTGAACAGCGAATTTTCTGCCCATCTTAATGGAATAGCATAGCAATAAAGAAATATACATACTTTAAGTAGCTTCTCTTTTAAATTGAAATTTATTTAATAAAAATTTCTGTGTACAATTTTTTAATTGCGCATGGTGGTTCAGGCTTAAACTATTTAGCTTTAAGAGACAAATCAGCAGTGCGCTTTTCAAAAGAAGTTAATTGAAATATGTATTTATAAATTTATTCATTAATGGAAATAAATTACATGTAAAATGCTTTGATTTTGGAAATTGTATTGAAGTACTTCATCAAAACATATTTAGAAAATAAGACTAATCGTTTTTCTTAAAATAGCACACTGCCTCCGAAGTGTTCGGCGTGTACTTAAGAGATAGCCATATTTCCTTTGGTGCGATATAGTGATTCAGAACCGTCCACAGAAGGCAATATAAAGTACGAAGGCGCGACGACAGAGTCAAAATAATATGGTTTCCGTAAAGTGCATATCACACAACAGCACTTAACGCCATAAACATTTCGATAACACGTGGCCTGATCCGCAACCGCCTCTGTGAGAGAACTATGCTAGTAGCGTTGGATCTGTCAAAGGCGTTTGATACCCTCCGTCACTGCACGCTAGAGAAACATAGAGGCCCCCTCTGTCCCACAGGGGCTCAAACGGTGGTCGACGAATTATGTGAGTGGTTGGCACTCGTCAGTAATGTTTGGAGACAAATCGAGCAAACTAGAAAAGTAAAACAAAGCGGTTCCACAGGGTGGAATCCTTTCCCCATTACTGTTGTTTAATTACTATATTTCCAAGCTCCCTGAACCACCAGTGGGAGTCTCGATTGTCTCTTACGCTCACGATTGTTCAATAATGGCGTCTGGGAATGGAATTGATGACTTGTGCTCGAGAGAAAACGGTTACCTCTCAGAGTTTCACTGCTAGGAGCCCACCCTCTCCCCTACAAAATCCTAAGCTACCCTGTTTACCGCTGGGTATTCACGATCAACGGCACACTAATTTCAACGGTGAATAACCCAAAAATACTCAGTAACTTTCGGCAGTCTACTCCCCTTCTCTCCGCATACAACCGCAATTGTCAACAAAGTACAGAACCTCAACCAGGTCCTCAAATCGCTAACCGGCAGTACCTGGGGCAAAGACAAAGAAACGTTGCTGGCCGGTTCTAAATTACGCAGTGTGGTCGCCGGGGACCAGTAGGACGCAGGGGATGAAGCTACAGACGACCCAAAATACAGCACTGTGGACAGCGACTGGATGCTTTCAGATGTCGCCCGAACATCACCTGCATGACGTGGTGAAAATGCTCCCTTCTTAGTAGGGAACCATGCTTGATGTGTCCGGTACTCGGCGACACACCCCACACTCGAAACATCTCTTCGCATGCCCACAGAACCCCACACAGCTAACACCTCTGTCCCTGTGGACATACCCTGTAGAGGCTGCACGCTTCTTGGGTCTTCCGTTAGTTGAGCTTAACGACTGAGATACTAGTCGATCTACTAGCGAGGTCATTCTTGCCGAAGAACCCGAAGACTTCAAAAGAAAAAACAAGTTCTCAGTGAGGTGGGATTGGCGGTGCGTGGAACAGTCAGTTCGGACAATTACTTTCCTGCAACCCAGAAGCGGAGCTTGCCAGTCGTAAAGGAGTTGTGTGCCATTTCGACAACATGAGACCGTACAAAATCTGATAACATAAATTGAAAATTCCCAAACCGCAGAAATGTTCGATTGTAACACTTGAGAATATACATACTTTGTTTGGTTTTTTATTAATATATTTTTACACAACTATTATAAACATGTACTACATACAAATATAGTGATGGCGCAGATGGTGGTATTTTATTACATAACAGTCACATACAATTCGCAACTTTTTGGTATTTCTAAAAATTGTTCACGTGTTTATAAACTATTCAAATTCACGCTTCGATTAAAGAAAGAAATGAACGAAAAACACTAAAAATTAAAGATAGCCAAAATTAAAATTCACTGCAAAAAGAAATAAAAAAAATAAAAAAACATACTGATGCACTACTTTAAAAGTGACAATTTCATTTTTGTATATAAAAAAGTAATTGGTATACTATAAAATCCTATATATATTCTTGCATTTCCTTTGCTTTAAATTCCTGTGATGTTTGCGAGCTAACAAGGCGACCTAAACCAGTGGGTAGCTGGATGCTGAAGCAATACCGCATTGATTTTGCTTGTTGCGCGCCATCTTAATGTAACCCTTATCACCCCAAGTGGTGCCCCAAGAATTCTTCACCAGCCAATACTCTTGACCGCTGGCATCGGTACCATAGCCGACCACCAATACACCATGATCCAATTGCTCTGCATCACAAAGTGGCTCGACATAAATACCCTCGGAATAGAATTGGAATGACTCATGCGATGCATCGATAGCTACGGAAACTGGACCGATCGTCGCAACAGCTTGCTTCATTTTCTCCTCATCACCGGCCGGAATGTCGACGAAACCACGATCGGTTGCGCCCACAGTAGACGGGTTGTAGTGGCAGGAATCGTCAATACCCTCATAAGGATAAGATTTCTCGGTATCAATACCGCCATTGTCTTTAATGTAACGGAAAGCGTTGTCCATCAGACCACCATTGCAGCCATTGTTGCCATATTTGCTTGAGCAATCGACCAAATTTTGTTCGGATAGCGAGGTGAGAGCATTTGATTTACGGAAATGTTGACCCTCGAGTGCGCCAGTGGTGGAGAATGCCCAGCAGGAACCGCAGTGACCTAATATGATGAAGCGATTTTGTAAATAAATACATACGCAATTTAGAAAAATTGTGTGCTTTATGTACCTTGATCCTTGATATCGGTAACAGCGCCATGGTCACGCCAGTCCACAGATTTTGGTACAGTCACATGGGCAGGTGAAATGAAAGTAGCACCACGGAATTTGCCATTAGCGCTATTGATAAAAGAAGAAAAAAGAATATGAATAATATGTATGTATATAGTTGTATTAAAACCAAAAAATTCTAGCTATAGTCTTTTTTCAGGCGATTATAGGCGCCTTAAGCAGGAATCACACGATTTGTAATTTTGTAAAGATTTGTAAATGTTGGTAGTCACAGAGTCGTGTTGCCTAGAAATTTTTATCGAGAATAAGATCAGCTCAATAAACACTTTCAAAAACAACACCACTCCGTAACTGTTAAATGTACAAATCGTGTAATCCCTGCTTTATTGTTTTCCACAATGCTTTGTACTCACCGCAGCTGTTTTCTCAGTGTATGGTTGAAGCCATTCATGGTATCACGGAATTCGGTGTGCAACATATCGGAATATTTGTTTACTCCCATTTTGAATGGCACTTTGCCGGCAGCATACAGTTGATTGTGTTTGGCTATCTTCATTTTGTTCTCATTAAATATTTTAAGACGGAAACGCTCTTCCACTTCGTTAGAGTAACGCTTATTATGCTCCATCTATAAATAAAGAAAAGTAAAAAAAAAAATAATGATTAGTATTTAGGGTGCTTAGTGATGCAATAGAAGAAGGATGTACATGTACAAAAAATGCCAAATAAAAATGCTGGCTTAAGATTTGAGAAAAATCCGTTTACATATGTATTTTTGGAAGGAGAAAGTTTAACTTTACTGATAATTTAATTCAATTTTTGATTCTTGAATTCATCTGCAAATTGTGTACGCTTATAAGGCAAAACCAAGCTAAATTCTAAGAGCCCTGTTACATGATCGTTACCTTGATATAGAAAGGCCCTAACACATATAGTCGTTGAAATGCAAAAAAGCCGTAACTAACTAAAAAATTTTATTGCTTTAAATGATGTGCGGACCAGACATCTGCAGCGGGTGCATGATTTTCGTGTATACTCGATCATTTAACAAAACCCGTTTTGCATCGTTCTCTGTATACGAGCAGAAGTATTGTTCGTTATCGACTGAGCTCAAGACAAACATGTTGGCCACAACACCCGATTGCTTTTCATACATACTTGATTGGGTTCGGGTGCTTTGCAGCTCAATATACCCGGGTGTTCGAGTTTCAACCCGAGTGTGCACAAAATTTTCTTGATTGGCTTATGACGTTTTTTTTTCTACAAAAAATGTTGCCTTCTCATCGCGGTGTTCTTAGTTTTTGTGCGTAGAGGGTAAAGAGAAGGTTGAATTTTTCGGTAGTTTGTTTAAGTGTACATTTAACCATTTCTTATATTTTTGCTCATACAAAATGCGGCATCACGACGCCTACATCCATTTAGGTATAAATGTGTGTAGATCGGCAATGCCCAAGCCCTATACACTCGGTGCACATTTATTTTTTGTAAAAGTACTTATGTACCTACATAGTTTTAGGCTGTGTTCTAATATATACACACACAGCTTTCCACGCGAAACTATACGAAATAGATGCAAAAACATTTTTGTCTACTTCGCTTCTAATTTTTTCATTGTGTATGCACAAGCACAAAGCAACAACATTTTCGTATGCTTTGTGGGAACATATTGGCGCCAGTTACCTTCAGCGTAAATTTCTTTGTTGTCCTGCATTTTATCGCAATGTTCGGGTGTCCGTTTCATTGTTACACAAATTTTCGGGTTAGCTGCGGGTGTCCGAGTGTGGTGTTCGCTTGTGCTCAATTTATAGGGAGGGTGATCGAACACACACGTTCGTAACCAAAGCAGCTGTCGGGTATGCACCTCGATCGAACACATAGTAGCCGAGTGTGGCGTTCGCTTGTGCTTGATTTTTAGTGAGTGTGATCAAAAAGGCTCGATCATACTCAAAGCTGTTCTCTGGTGCGGACTTATCATTTGATTAAGTGCATCATAATAAATCAAAAAGGGAATTTTGGATTTATACTTAGTATCGTCTTTTTGTAATTCAGATATGAGATAGGGCCTTTCTATATTAAGGTAACGATATGTAAATGCTACTTTTGTGATACGTTCTAATATATGGTACATAGGAGTAAATACAAAAAAGTAGCATTTACATACATATGCAAATACATATCGTGTAAGAGCCCTGTAAGCAGTTATATGTACAAAAGTAGTCAACGGAATAAAAAAAAAACCGATGGAAAAAAGCTTTTGCTACATCGTTTTCCAAAAAAGGAAATATTTCTGGCCTACGGGAGAGGTTTTCATGGAAAACAGCACGTGGTAAAGGGCTTGGGGAAAATATGGAAATATTCTATAAGTTTGAAAGAACTATAGTACCAGCCAGTGTTGCCATTTTAGCCGTTTTCCGGCTAGATTTAGCCGGTTGCAATAGCAAACAGCCGGAGAAATTTCGGTTTAGCCGGAAGCCGATTTGTTAGCCGTTTTGTAAAAAAGATTAGCCGTCTTTAGCCGATTTTGCTATTTCTTTGTTTTCTTAAAATTCAAATACATATATATGTTTACATTTTTGACTAAGCCACCCAAAATCTGTTAGAAATGGCTAGTAGCGTTATCGTGGAGGCACGGTTATATAAAATTGGGCCGATTTCGATTATTTTTATTTTAAACAAATTTTTTTTTCTAAAGAAGGCCGTAACGGGGACTTTCTTCATAAAATGTTTGTTATCATTGACTTAAATTTAAGTGTGAAGTTTTATTCGCAAACTTAGAAAATAACAAACTGTTTCACTGTTTGCTTAACAGGCGTTTGTGTTTGGATATACTGCCAAGAATAAATGTTACAGGTATTGTCTTCCTAGATAGCGTATATTCAGCCTTAATAACCAAACATCATTGTTGCCCACGCTTAAAGTTTTAAGGCAGGGGAAAAATTGATATTTTCAAGCACTATGTATACATATGGGCTTACTTAAACTAACTTTTTTTCCTGAGAACTTATTTAAATTCCAAAAACCAAAGGCCAACTTGAATTAAAAGAACCAGCACTGAAATGCATAAAAATGCAAATAAAAGAGCAAAAATTTCTATGTAAAGTAAAACTCTCTAGGAAGACAATAGGTTTGTTCGTCGAAAATCCAGCGAAAATCATCACTCAAAATATCAGTTAATAAGAAAAAATGCTCCCAAATTCTCTCTCAAGTAGAGAAACTTGCAAATTTCTGCACGAACGCAAATTTGCAGGAAATTGCAGGGTTCTCTGCCAGCAAGTGTCCACGGTTGCATTTAAAACATAAGAAATTTGTATAGAATTTTAAAGTTCTTTCAGAGGGACAAAAAACAGGATCTACATGTATATTTCTTGCTAGTCCAACTTTCTTCAACATACATTTCAATTTCTTTGCCGTACTAACTGTCGCGTTTCCTATATCGACTCTGGTTGAGATTGCGTTATGAGTACGTTTCAAATCATTAGAATTAACTAAACTAATTAAGTAAACAAGTATTTACTTAAATTTTTTATTATAAATCGCTCAAGTTTGTAAATTTTTAAATTTGACGAACCTGCTTATTCAAATTATTGTCGACAAAAAATGCAACCATGTGCCACATTCATATGTTTTTTCTAATTGCAAATTCTTGCCGCCAAAATTTTTTCCAGCTTGAATTTGCAACTTCTCCCCAAGAACTAGTCTTTCTACTTATGATTTATTTAAATAAAACATGTGAAATTTAGTTGAAACAGTTTAGCCGTTTTTAGCCGGTTTTTTGCCAATCTAGCCGGTTGGCCCAGAAAGTTCTGGCAACACTGGTACCAGCTTAGAAAGTTATTTTAATAAATATAGTTTACTTCGTTTGGAGGCGTCTTTTGAATACAAAAAAGGTACCTGCCATTAAAGTAGGTCTTGGGTCTGATACTGATTTGCGAAGGAAGATAAATATCTACTCCATTACCGAAGCGCCAATTAAGGCCTTGGTAGCTCGCTCAAAATTAGTTGGGAAACTGACTCTTGAGCTATGTACATATGTATATTCGGACGAAATTTTGTTGACGATTCTGAAATTTCGTCAGAACAAAGTATATGTCCGTTTTTTGTTTTTTTTGAAAATCAATACTAACTTAAAGAACAGAACATGTTAAACATTTTTTTTTTTACAAAAATTCTGTTTTTGACAGTGTACGAAAATAAACTATATTGTACGTTACTATTTCGTTTCGTTTATTACTTCAACAGTTCGGTACAATACGAAAACAAAACGGCTGAGTTCACTTTGCGATAGTAAACTACAGTAGTTTAGTAGTTACAGACGAAAACACAAACGAAATGAATCGTGCAGAGATAAATATATGTATGTATGTAGTACATGTTTTTTAATTGAATTGGATATGAAAATTTACAGAAAAAAATATTTGTCACGTAATTTAAACGTTTGCATACATATAAAACGTACCCTATGGTACAATTGTCACAAACGAAAAGCAAACGTTTCTCGTTGGGGAAAATGACAGTGAATCTTACAATTTGTTTCTCACTGTGTACAAAACTGTACAAAACCACAAATGATATGATGATAGATGAGCAAATGGGAATTGTTTTGTACAGTTTATTTTCGTACCCTGGTTTTTGATGTAAATAATTGTTAGAAATTATTACAATTTTTGAGAGGGCAATTTGCAAATTCTTGCTGGATAAACTTTCGTCAGGAAGAACTTGCAAGCAGAGTTCAGGCACATGGTTACATTTTTGCCGACAATAATCTGAGTAAACAAGTTCTTTAAATTTAAAAATGGATAAACTAGAGCGATTTGCTAATGAAAATTTTAAGTAAATATTTGTTTACTTAGAGCCATTTTCTCAGTGTTGACAAAATGTTAATCTGATTAATGATTAAAAATTAAAGACTAAAATGTTAATCGCGATTAACGGTTAAAATTAATTAATGATAATCATCTGTACGATTAATGGTTAAATTTTTTAATCGTTAATCATCGGTTGTGATTACGATTAATTAATTTTAATCATTAATCTTTGATCCAATTTAAAAAATCTGATTAAGTGGCCTAGTTTGTCCGAATTTGAAATCAAACACCAATTTTAGTGCTCCTTTTGTGTTTGACGCTTATAAAAACACGTAATATATATTCAAAAAAATAGGTATTATTATAAGTAATACATAAGCTATAAATTTTTTACAGCCCATCGCACATGGGCCGAGAGAATTTAAAGCCTACTTTGCATATAAACTGCTGGTAATAGATAACAAAATTGCTTACATTGATGAGGGGAATCGGTTTAGCCGCACCCGATTTATTGACCTTATGTGCACAAGACAATTCCAGCCTAAATTAATTAATCACTACCTATCTACTTATCGAATTAAGGGTTAATGATTAAAGATTAATATTTTTAACCAAGATTACGATTAACCGATTGAATTTCATTTAATTTATTAAAAAATCGATCGATTAGTGCCGTAAGATGGTAGGCAAAGGCAACATGAAAAACGACAATATGAAAAACAAGCTTCAAAAGTACAAGTCGTTGGTTAAATCCCAACGAGTTATGGGGCTTTATTAGCGATCTGTCTGAAACATGTATTATAACAACCTTCTAATCGGTTAG